GAGAGACAATACTGGAAATCACAATCCAAATTTTGTATGACAGCACAATGTCGACATTGTTCACGCTATCTTTGTTATCGACATTGGCAAGAGCATATAAAATTAATGGTGATAGATTTGAGTTTAGATTAAGAGAACAAGCACAATAGATGAAAAACAATAGATAATATTGAAAAAATTGAACTTACCTCATCATAATTATGTTAAACGTCTGACTTGTACTTTCAGCAGCTTGACAAGATGAATACTCAAGCTGTAAAAAGTACAAGTTAGACGTTTATTGTGAAGGTCCTGCCGTTAAAGTACAAATTGCGATAATTACGCTAAACTGTAATCATGATGGTCTATCGCGACAATAAACGTACCTGAAACTTTATCAATAACTCAATAGAGTCGTATTAGATTGATTCTTCGTAAATAGCATTTGAGAAATACATTGGCACAAGCCACAGTTGCGCAAGAAATTGAGCACATTTGTCCATGTTTGGAATGTATCACCCTTCCAAAAAATATTATTTAGGCACATTAACTCAGCGAGATGCTATGTTCACAACAACTTTGAACTGGTATTGCACGGTAATGCTATCAAATTGTTGTGCACTCTTCTTAGATGCTCGAGAGTGTCTGTCTATCACTAAAAATACTTTTTTCCTCGCTGATTAATGTATGTCCCTTGTAGGGAGGTTCGGCTCTCGGTTTCGGGACCGAAAATCGAGGTTCCAGTTCTCAACTTAGAATCGAAACGAAAGAAACCTCGATTCCGGTTCGGAAAGTGATATTCCTGATCACCGTCGAGCGCTGATAGAAATATGTATAATAAAGCCGGAAAAAAAATTTACTCGAAGTTTGTTTTACGTGCATCTTACATGAAACATTATTTTGCTAAATATTTTACACTAACTACAATTGTATCGTTTAATGTTGCATGTTCAAATACTTGACATCCATTTTTCTCTCTATAGTTATACGGATATTCTTTATCATTAATATCGTATTTCAATATATATTCAGCAAAATCTTTTGTGACGCTGCCCGCATTCGCTGTTATAACTGCCTCGAATTCATGTTGTTTGCCAATAATTAATAATTCGTTTTCTAAATAATACATAATATTAACTTTTTCTTTAACATCAACATCTGGATGAACTGCAGTTAAAAAATTATGCATTATCTTTCTAATACCGTTAGAATAGGTTCATATATTATGTCACCTTGTGGTAGGAGAAAAGGATCAGCTCAGATGACTGTTATCAGCAGAAAAGCTTTTGAAGCGTTTCTGTTCGAAAACCAATTAAAAACTGCGTTATTTTCATAGGTTTTGTCCATTACGTTTTAGTTGTAGTTTTTGATAAGAGTGAAGTAAATTGTGCCGGGAATTGAATTAGAAGTGGTGAAAACCTTGTATAAAATGGCCTACGAAATTTCATTAAAATGCTTAGCGTAGTTTTGAGGTAATGAAAAGGATCTTCTAATTGATATCTACCCCATAAACTTATTCTGCTGTTTTTAAGTCAAATTTCAACGAAACTGATGTTAATTTTTAGGGACAAGATGCTTTCTTTGCGCTGTTTTATCCATCAGCGTTTTCAAGATTTCTTCTTTATAGTGAGGGAAACGATACTGGAAGATCTGATTATTTTAAATGTAATCTTTAAGGTTTTCTTAACTTGACCTAAGCTTTTTATGCAATGTTTTTGAGTTCATACATCTGTCAATCATGTCGTTTTTCATGCAACTTTTTTCCATCAGGCGTTTTTGTCTATGTAAAGCGCATCCATCGGTTTTTTGAGGCCTCAAGGGTTTTCCAAAGTTATTTTTATCAACATGAATTCCAGATAGGAATATGTAATCAACCGTGCTGATCACGAATTCACGAATAATGTGATGTGTTTCAATGAGACATCTGACGCGCTGAAGGCTCTTCATCAAGGACAGTTGAAAATGGAAAATATCAAGTGCGTGATCACGAGTATGATGGAACGTGATGGACGGCGAGAACGAGGACGCCTGAGTGGACTCCAGATGTTAGATGAAATTAAGAAAATCTGGAAGCAAACCAGTACAAAGCATCGTCCGCTCATGGTTGTTAATAGTTTGACAGCCGATGCATATCAATGCAAAGAACATGGCGTAGATATTGTTGTTCATGCCAATCGTAGTCTCGTTCAAAAGCAAGTTATCGATTGACTTATTCAACATTTGAACATGGATCGATGCAATTTTCCATGAGCTATCCGAAACCAGCATCCGATTTCTGGTGTCTCTCAGTTTTTATGCATTTTTCTTCGAAATACTCGAAAAATCGACTGATGAGTCATGTCGAATTTTCGACTTGCAAAATTCCTAGCAGGGTCACAGTAAGTGACAAAACAGCCTCTAGTCAGCCGTGCTGTAGAGAATGCATTTCTCTATCGTTTGAGATGTTGACCAGCGCAAACGGATTAGCCTTCGCTGAGAAAAGTGGAAAACACGAAGGTCGACTGATTTTGGTGAAAAACAAGCCTGTTCTTCCAAATGTCCTTAGAGTTTCGCCTGTAACTTTTGATAGGCTTAATCGGAAGAGCTGATATTTTCCGTATAAAATTTTCAGACCATGGATTATCCAACGCAACTAGAGCCAGGGAAATCTGAAATATGTCAAAGTTGTGCGATGGTGGTGGTCTCGCGGACCCTCGCTTAAGTGTATGATAAACTCTTGTATAAAATAGAGTAAGATTTTTTTAAACATCAGTACTTCATACATTTTCGATCAATTAAGCAGGAATTTTTTAATTTATTAGTTAATAGTTGAAAAAAATTTAAATAAAACTGAGATCAAAGTTAGCTTTTAAACCGAAATGATCAGATATGAATACATCTCGCTCCGATGCAAGTTGATTACCAGATGGTGGAGCTTCTGCAATAGGTTTTTTGCCAATAATTCGAATCTTGGTTGGTCTCACATGTGAACTTCGAAACATCATTCGATCAAATCTAACATTGGTATGTGTTATTCCACGATCATCAGGACCCTTTAGTTCAGGCCATAGATCAGTCCAACCTTGAAGAATATTCATTTGTATAGTATTTTCACGCCAGTGCGCACCGAAATTAAAGTCTCCCATGAAGAAACCAGTGACATTTAAAGAATCCCCTATATGTCTATCGAAAATAGATTGACACAGTTGTAGTTGCTGTGATCGCAAATCTTGACTATTTCGTAAGGATTCTAAATGAGCAGTACCTACAAGAAAACGTTCATTTCGCAGTTGAATTTTTGCTAATAAGAATTGTCTCCCTTTTCGTGTAGGAAGTGGATACATTGAAAGTTCTCTTAAACTTAAATGTTTATCTATCAACATGACGACACCATAACT